TTTTTTTTTTTTTTTTTTTTTTTTTTAATATATATATGTCTAAAACAGTGTATACATTGCATTTTCTCGTACAATAAAGTTATAATCTATCATCATCCACTTATATGCACAACAATTGGACTAATGTAATCTCTGCTCCTACTAATTCTGCCCAAACAATTTGCCTGAAATTGTTTATTTTTATCGAAGTTCTCTGTCGACGAGTAAAGAAATAACGAAGGTTCTAAGAAATGTAGTAGAGTTATCGAGCTTCTAACACTGGTATCAAACTATAGGATAGAAATCGATGACATCTGATTTCACGTTATTAGACTTGACTTGATCATATGCGTACATTTCCTCAGGTGAGGACTTTGACCAGAGGATCATGGAATACTTCATCAAATTGATCAAGAAGAAGCACGGAAAGGACATCAGCAAGGACAACAGAGCTCTTGGAAAGCTTAGAAGGGAATGTGAGCGTGCCAAGAGGGCATTGAGTAGCCAGCACCAGGTCCGCGTTGAGATTGAATCCCTCTTCGATGGTACTGACTTCTCTGAGCCATTGACCAGGGCTCGATTTGAGGAGTTGAACAACGACTTGTTCAGAAAGACCATGGGACCAGTGAAGAAGGCCATGGAAGATGCAGGCTTAGAAAAGAGCCAAATCGATGAGATCGTTCTTGTTGGTGGTAGCACCAGGATTCCTAAAGTTCAACAGCTTCTAAAAGACTACTTTGACGGCAAGGAACCTAACAAGGGTGTGAACCCTGATGAGGCCGTTGCCTATGGTGCTGCTGTTCAAGGAAGCATCTTGAGTGGAGAGGGTGGTGAAGAAACCAAAGGTAGATTTTTTAAATTTCTTGCTTATAACGAATGAGTTGACTGAACCTGATATTCAGTTACTCACAAATCTTTTCACTGTCCATACAGATATTCTTCTTCTTGACGTTGCCCCTCTTACTCTTGGAATTGAGACTGTTGGTGGAGTGATGACCAAGTTGATCCCCAGAAACACTGTCATCCCAACCAAAAAATCTCAGGTCTTCACCACTTACCAGGATCAGCAGACCACCGTCTCCATTCAGGTAGGCTTTGATAAAAAAACCTTATCTTTAAATTGTAAAATCGTTCTACAATCTTCTTATCATGTTCTTTGTTGCTAAAACCCTCTACAATTCAGGTCTTCGAAGGTGAGAGGAGTCTCACTAAGGACTGTAGGAACCTTGGGAAATTCGATCTAACTGGAATTCCTCCAGCACCAAGGTACGTCTCTTTCCCCCTGACCCCCTTTATTCTGTCTCACCCGCAAATGTGAAATGTTAAAACTAAGTTTGTTTTCGACATTTAACAGGGGTACCCCACAAATTGAGGTCACCTTTGAGGTTGATGCCAACGGTATCCTGAATGTTAAGGCCGAAGACAAGGGCACTGGTAAATCCGAGAAGATCACCATCACCAATGACAAGGGTCGATTGAGCCAAGAGGAGATCGACCGGATGGTTCGTGAAGCCGAGGAGTTTGCTGAGGAGGACAAGAAGGTGAAGGAAAGAATTGACGCCCGTAACAGCCTGGAAACTTATGTGTACAACATGAAGAACCAGATCAATGACAAAGACAAACTTGCCGACAAGCTCGAGTCTGATGAGAAGGAGAAGATAGAGACTGCCGTTAAGGACGCTCTCGAATGGCTGGACGACAACCAGAGTGCCGAGAAGGAAGACTATGAGGAGAAGCTGAAGGAGGTGGAGGCCGTCTGCAACCCCATCATCACGGCTGTTTACCAAAGGTCTGGTGGTGCCCCAGGGGCTGGGGAGTCGGCGGAAGATGATGAGTCTCACGATGAGCTCTAAACAATTAACTGAGTAATTTTTATTTTGATCTCTTTGGGGTTGAGAAATGAGTATAGGAGGTGGTAGGAGGAGGCCATGGAAAAGGTTGTAGTAAGTATTCTTTAGATAGGCTCTTTTGCGATACATTTTGGATTTTATTATCACTTGTGTTGAGAGCTTTCAATTAGTGCAACTTTAATAATTTGATCCTATTTCTGCACACTTGGATTTTATAATATCTAAATTCCTTCTACTTCATTTTAAATTAGTACTTTATTATTTATTATTTCATTTCTTTCTTATTCTCTGAACAAATAAACAAGACATTATTATGACAAAAAAGTCCATTTCATGTGGCATCCAATTTGACCCGAAACTAAACTCCAACATTGGGGTTCCCTGATCCTGCTGCTACAACCCCCATCCCACTTGGTTCCTTAATAGCAATACTGTCTCCATTCAACTCCTTCACAACATTATCCATCTTTCGAAACTGATATGGCCACCTCGAGTTGTACAGAAATTGACGAAGATCGTACCGATTGTCATCCGGGGAATAGCTCTGCAACGAGATTTTTGTAAGCTTCTAAAGAACGAGAAACATGAATTGTGTATCAATACAATTGAATATACTTACCTCAGCGTGATAAGATGGCGTTAGAACGACCATTTTGTGTCGATTCATGGAGTAGTACTTGAAGAAATGTTTCACTTTTTCGGCCACCTCTGACGGAGTTAACTTAGAACCCCAACGGTAGCAGAGATTCTGAAACAAGGACAGTTCCCAAAAATTATGCGATCGTCAAGTGAGTAAAAGCTAAAAATGTTCGACAAACCTTGAACATTGACACAGGACCGCAACGGAAAATTTTTCGCAGCCTTCCGTAGACTGAGAGCTCCTCATATGTCATTCCCATGTCAACTTCATCCAACTGTTTGCAAGTGAAATAGTACTACTTTAACCACATGTACTGCCAACAACATATTGAATCTACCTATCTACAACTATTTGTTAAAAACAGAAAAGCATGTGCAGCAAGCATGGTTCGGTCAAAACCAACGAACCCGATGTTAAAATACATAACTAAACCGACCATTTAGAGTTGGTCGAACAGTGATTTGGATCAACCTCCCCAACAGTTTGATCGGTGACAAAACCGACCCGATTGATTTACACCCATAAGGGGAACCACAGGTTGCAAGAATAGATCCAAAAGCATTAACATCAGGAAGAATTTATAAAAATTTCTAATCCATTTCTAGGATAAAATGCATCTGAAGAAAAATGTGAGATGTGGAACAGTGAAAGAGACGAACCTGGCTGTAGTTGGAACGAATTGGCTCCAGCTCGGCTGTGGGAGGAGCTGCTTCGATATCTGCCAACGATGAGAAGCCAAGATGCGTGGCAGCCCATCTAAGAAAAGCTCGAAGATCCTGCTTACTGATGCTTCCAATTGGATTTAGATCTGCTGAACTGCAATCATACTGACTCCAGTCGAGAATCTAAACATGAGATACTCATCAAAAGAAAACAATGCAGCTTAAATAGCTCAAATAATATCAAACCTTCGTCAAGTAACCACGCAATCCTTCGTCGACGTTGGAGCTACCCAGAACAAGGTAGAATCCAGATTTACCATGTACCCAAGGTAAGAGCGATGCAAACATAAAAGCCAGAACCATCCTGATTCGAGCTTGAATATTCTGCAGGCCTAAATTTTCGACGTTAGATCCCCCATCTAACTGCAAAACAAGACGAGTATGACCTTAGCCACTCCTTGTGTGTGCAATACAATAAAATTTGAAGGAAAAGAAGCAAGTATTTTCACCTTATACCGTGGACGTTTTCCAGTAACTGTTTGGAACAAAGACAAAAGTGCAGAAACAATCCCGTCTATGGAAACATCAAGATGCCACGAACCAATCTCGTCTGCTAGAACCTTTGCTCGTGTACGTGTTGCTTCAGAACTACAAGGAGCAAGCATGGTCCATGAACGATACGCAATTTCGAACCATACCAAAAAATAACAAGTGCACAACCTACAGATTCATGCCATTCTACTCACCTATTTTCAGAACCCATAAATACAGTATAAAAAATTCGTTTGGCGAATTCTTTACTATCAGTCGGGAACTCTCCATCAGCATAATGTCCAATCCGTATTGCATCAGCTTTCACTTGTTCGTCTCCCTTGGCAATATCTGCAAGCCAATGAATCAACCAAGAGAATACAAGTGTGACGGGTATGTTAGAATTAGCAAAACGTTTATTCACCGATATTCAATGACTTTATCGACAGTCACTTGTTCATTTTTCTCATCCTAACTTAACTGAACTTGAAAAATAGATATCTACGGCAACTCTACCAATACCCGTGCTAACAAAAACCAACCTTTTACGACAAGCTGGCACATGCAGCCCACTATGGCTGCAACAGATGAACTATCAGCTCCACCAGAAAGAGGAAGCAAAAATCCAGAAGCTCCGCTTCGTCTTAAATAGTCCCACAACCAGCAACCAGGTCCATAGGCTATTTCCTCTTCAGAGCAGTGATAGTTAATCTATAAATCAATTACATTACACTCGGGAAATATACGTTTTTGACATGATGAACTAAAATGCTACTGAATAAGTAGTAACTAACCTGAAGGGGACTTGAAAGAGAAATTTTGAGATTGAATGGCTGACATAGACTATATGGGGCTGCCACAGAAGGAACTGTGGTCTTATAGCTTGCTTGTTCTTGAAAGCTGCTTATAGATCCTCTAAGACTAGCAACCTGACAGGCAAGCCAGCCTCTTCAAACTAAATGTTTAGTACAAAAAAAAGAAAGAAAAAGAAAGAAAGACTTTATTTGTTTTTAAGCAGAGGTAATTGAACTCCACTACTATGTTCATAGCCCACTCCCACTATTTGTTAAGGGTTTGTCCAAATAAGGCCATTTTGAGAAATAGCACGAGTTCTAATGTGAGATCCCATATCCGTTGGAGAGGAGAACGAAACATTCCTTATAAGGTGTGGAAACTTCTCCCTAGCAGATGCGTTTTAAAATTGTGAGGCTAATGACGATACATAACGGGCCAATGAGGACAATATCTGCTAGCGGTGGGCTTGGGCTGTTACAATGGTATTAGAGTCAAACACCGAATGGTGTGCTAGCGAGGACGCTAGGCCCCCAAGGGGGTGGATTGTGAGATCCCACATCGATTGGAGAGGAGAACGAAGTATTCCTTAAAAAGGTGTGGAAACCTCTCCATAGCAGACGCGTTTTAAAACCATAAGGCTGACGGCGATACGTAACAGGCCAAAACGGAAAATATCAACTAGCGGTGGGCTTGAGCTGTTATATCAAACCTATTGAGTGTTTTACTAGGGATTCAAACCTAGGACTTTGAAGGGTATCTCAAACATCTACCACACCTGGACAAACAAGGCTAGTTTTGAGAAATAACACAAGTTCTAATCTATCGAGTGTTTTACTTGGGATTTGAATCGGGAACATTGAAGGGTATCCCAGACATCTACCACACCACTAAAGCACCCCTAAAGAGTAGAAAACACCAATAATTTAAGTTCAACATGTGACCAAACAAATGATACTAATGAGTTATGTTAGAACTTCCCAGTTGTGCCGGGAACAACTTCACGTTATCCCTTCCTTCTCTCTCCCTCATAAGTAGAAGGAAAAGCAGGCAAGTAACATGCATTAATCAATGTAAGATAAAGGTATCAAGTAAATCATCCCACGCTTCACATTGTTTCCATACCGCATCAAGATCTACACTAGCAACCACAACCTCGACATCCTTCAAGGAAAACTGCGACCCTTGAGCTACAAGCTCGCCGTTCATAACAACACAAGCACAACCATCTACAACAAAACATAACTTCAATAAATCCCTTGTCTCTCACTGCAAACTACAAATGTCAATACGGGTAATAAACAGTACACGCAATAGAGGTATACCATAATAAAGACGGCCACCGTCACAACCCTGGTGATTACTGTACATGTAAACTCCACCGCGAGTATGAGTAGCATCTATAAAAGCACGAAGACGAACATCAAGTTTTCTTAGTTGGTGATGACTTCCACTAGCATTCATAAATACTTCAACCCCATTCAAAGCAAGTTCAGCATGCGGTGGAATAGGTGTAAAAAGTTCTTCACAAACTTCAGCAGCAACAGTTCTAACAAGAAGGAACACACTAGGCATCAGCTCATAAATCAAAAGTTACATATGCATATGCATTTCGGATCGAAAAAAGAACAAGAACAAATAAAACCAGTAATTTTGGCACTCACGTGTCTAGAAACTGAATATATCCATAGCCAAAAGGCACAGATGTTTGTGACAGAGCCTCAGAGATATCTCCTGGCAGCTGAAAATCCACAAGCTTGTCCTTTAGCTTCCATGCTGTGAACCACCGTAGCTCCCTGTAATTCCCATCATTTGCAAGCCACATTTTTGGACGTATCATAACAATTTTCCTATTGAAACAGAGCACTTGACAATTGTAACGCTCAGAGTCCTTGATAACAGGCATGCCAATGCTGCACAATATCCCATCAGTCAAAGGACCCGAAAGTATATCCTTCAAGCATTCCCATCTGCAAAAGTATCCAAAGACAAGAAATTTGAGCACCCCAGAAACTTGAAGCCAGTAAATATTGAGAATTGTTGGGAGAGGAGTCCCACATCAGCTAATTAAGGGGTTGATCATGAGTTTATAAGCTAAAGAATACATCTCCATTGGTATCCAAAATCATCCGAGCTTATACTCAAAGTAGACAATATCATATGATTGTGAGGTTCGTAATTCCTAACCGTGAATATGTCTATTGAAACAATAATCCACAACCAATTGTAGCTATTTTCGCATGGAACAATCAAATTGAGATATAACAAGCAGAAAACTTACGCATGCATGACAGTGTCGAGCTCCAAGAAATGGTCTTCACAGCCATATCCAGTAATCTCGAGTTCAGGGCCAAGTCTGATGACAGCGCCAGCACGTTTAGCCTCATCAATAGACTCTTTGATGTTCTTCACATTACAATCAAAATCCATGGCCCATTGATTCAAATTACACGTTGCTACCTTCATCAGCCTCATAATTAACGATTCCTCAGCCTTCCCACCTTACAATTGTTCAAACCAAAATCAAGTATCAATGAACCCATTCGAATCAATACCAGAAAAGAAATAAAGGGTAAAAGGAAAAACAAGAAATTGAGGGCTTGTGTGTACTGACCTACGCTACTCCAGCGAAAATTCAGAGAGGTTTGCAGAGCCGACCTTGACGAAGGGAGCAGATGAGTGGAGGGGTTGTTCTTGTTCTTATGTTTGGTCCCTTTTTATGCCTCCAGAAATTCTCCTGGGCCGTATTCCGCGGGGCTGGCTTTTTGGTACCTTTAAATTGGAAGCGGAAGTTCCATTCGGTAGCCGGTTGCCCGACGGGTCACATGGTCCTCGAGCCTGAGCCAGGTTTGGAGTTTGGGTTTGACATGTCTCAACTGCTTTGCATAAAAACCGTGATGCTTAAAAAATATATATATATATATATGTCTTCGAAAAAAGTCAGAAAATATAATGAAATATTATCAGATTTTCATATAAATAAATGTTTTTTAACCATTTTATTCTATTATTAAATTTTAGATAATAAAAATTATTAAAATAATTTTAGTTAACTAAAATTAATTTTATTTTCTACCTTAAATCTTAGATTTTTAAGTTTATTTTCAGTAAATCTTAATAATTATATTCAAAAAAATAATTTTAATAAAATTATATAACTATTTAATCTAATTTATATTTGAAAAATTAAATATGGTATATTGGAGAATAAATTTATATTGATTTTTGTTAATTGTAGTTTATTATAATTAATGAGGATTTTTCCCTCTACAATTTGAACATGTCTTCTGGTTTTGGGTTGAAGAAATTAAAATCAATCCATGAAGGCTTGGAACTTGGAAGTGGAGGGAAGAAGATGAAGGGAAGTATATATTCTTTTGCTAATTGTGGCGGGAAAATGTCGTAAGATACCCGAACCCATTTCCATTTACTATCCCTCTCGCTATCATTCCTCCGATACTCTCTCCTCTCTCTCCTCTCTCTCCTCTTCCTAAGGGGGAAAAAGCCTCTCTCTCTCTCAATCGACTCTTCTTGTGTTGTGCTTCAATTTCAACGCTTTCCGGTGCCGGAGGGGTCTTTCAGCGGCAAATAAGGTACTTTTTTTTCTCTTTAATTTCGTGGGATCGCACCCGTTTGTTCTAGGGCATCGCCATCGCTGTTATCGCGAATTTTCGTTCTGGGTTTTGAGTGTGACTTCTGTTTTTGGTTTGTTTGATCTTCCGATTTGGGTCCTCAGAACTAGTTTCGATTATCGGAAGTGGAGTGTTGTTGAAGGTTATTGCAGAGTTCGATATCAAATGGCGGAAGTTTTTGATGACGAAACCGAACAGACGATTTCTATTCAAGAGTATCTGAAGGAAGTTGAGGAACAGGAGCTGGTAACTCACTCTCTCCCACTCTTCGAGTAAAGGTGTCTGATGTTTGGTTGGTTTTCCTAAAATTTGCGATGTAATGGCCTGGAAACGTACTGGGTTTTCTATAATTAGGGTTCATGGCGTGTTCATATCTTCAGACCTTATTTTATTACGTATAATCGATTGGGGCGTCCTATTTATTGTTAGTTTATCACCTGTCGCAACATTTTGTTTGTGCTCCACTGCGAGTAGGAAGATAGTACCTGTAATCTATACTGTTCTAAAGTATGCATTTAACCAAGGTTATTCTACCTTTCCACAGAATATGATACAACTTTAATGCTTTCTTTTCTTGTTTCTGTATATCCTTTTTGAGTGCTTGGTATCTGATTATCATTATCCTTGTTTTATATAATCAAGGAAGCAGATTTGGTTTTGGGAGGTGACGAAGGAAAGGAATGTACTTACAGCAAGGGTTATTTGAAGAGACAAGCCATTTTCTCATGTCTAACTTGTACCCCTGCTGGAAATGCTGGAGTTTGCACAGCATGTAGCTTGTCCTGTCATGATGGACACGAGGTATACATGTTATGAAAAAGAACTCTGTTTAGCATATGCAGCGATTTAAGTTCTTTTGTCCAGTGTATAGTGCAAAGCTATAGGCTTGTTGTTCTGTGGAAGCATTTAGTGGTTCCTTATGTTGTATATCTATGTAACAGCCTAAGCACATTGCTTGATATTGTCCTCTTTTGCCCATTACATATCTCCGTCAGCCTCACGATTTTAAAACGTGTCTATTAGGGAGAGGTTTCCACTCCCTTGTAAGGAATGTTTCACTTCCCTCTCCAACTGATGTGGGATCTCACAATCTAAGTCCATTGATTCATGAGCATGTCATTTCGATTATTGATGGTTGGTATTCCCAGGTTGCATAAACGATTTATATCAATTGTTTTGACTTCATTTCAATTATGTTAAACTTTCCAAGTACTTTGCTTCCTAACCCCCTCGTCTTATTATGGTCGTTGTTCTATTGGGCAAGATTGTGGAATTATGGACAAAAAGGAACTTCAGGTGCGACTGTGGAAATTCAAAATTTGGAGATTTCATTTGCAAGCTGTTCTCAAACAAAGATGTAGAAAATGCCAACAATTCGTATAACCATAACTTTAACGGCTCATATTGCATATGCAATCGTCCTTATCCTGATCCAGATGTTGAAGAGCAGGTGGAGATGATCCAGTGCTGTATGTGTGAGGATTGGTTCCATGAGGAACATCTTGGTCTCAGTTCCATAGATGAGGTGCGTTGGCTTAAAATCCTTTCATGGAATTACAATCACTGAGTAAACTCTTATCCTTATAAGAAAATTACTTTGCCTTTATGTCTTTGATGTTAGAATTTTCTTACTGTGGATTTAAGCATACCACTCGTTGATGTCTGTTTAACTGCATCTCATGCATTTGTTTCTTCTACAGATTCCGAGAGATGAAGACGGGGAGCCCCTGTACGAGGACTTCATATGCTCGGCATGTTCTGCAGTTTGTTCTTTTCTGAGTCAATACCCTTCTTCTATTTGGGCTGTGGGAAGGCCCTCCGATATCTCCTTGGACGTTACCATGAAGAATGATGCTCCAGAACCCATACTTTCACTTAGTACATCTGTAAAGCACGATGATGATGCCAATGCTCACGATTCTGCAAATGTCGACCTTACAGTAGCTCCTGATAAATCTGCTGACAAAAACAGCTTGCTTAGTGAACCTACTACTGAGAATGATCGTAGTTCCAACGAATCTATTAAAGATAACGGTCAAACTGTTAGTTGTGTGCTTGGCGCTTCTCAGTCATCTGCTTCTAGAGCCATTCAAAACAAGCCAATGTTTCTTTCAAAGAACTGGAGGGGTGCCTTGTGCAGATGTGAAAAATGTGTCGATAATTTTAAGCGGATGAATATTAGTTTCCTGCTAGACGAAGAGGACTCCATTGCTGAATATGAGAAAATAGCAAAGCAGAAGAGGGAAGAGAAGTTACAGCAACAAGAGGGTGCTGAGTTGAAGTTGTTTGATAAGCTTGGCCATGTAGAGAAAATTGAGATTCTGAATGGCATTGCAGATATGAAGGATGAGATCCATACATTCCTGGTATTTATTCAGTTTCAATATTTCCCTTGTTTTTGTGTCTATAATGATGAATAAATGTCAATGAATATATGTTTTCTTCTTTTCAGGAATCATTTGACTCGTCGAAGCCTATCACATCTGCAGATATCCACCAGGTTTTCGAGAATCTAGCTAAAAAGAGGCGTCGTACCGAATGAAGTTTTCTGAGGAACCTCAGTATATTTCAGCATCTATGGTCTTAGGATTTCTCAAGTAGGTTGTCCTGACTAAATATACTGTCTTGGGCTGCTGTCTTCTTTTCAGAATACTGTCGTGTAAAACTGTAAACTATGGGACTTAATTCTCATTGAGAACTAGATTATGCTTTCTGAAATTACTTGTTTTGGAAACCATGTTAGGCTTACCGGAGGTGCTAAGCTGTAAATTCAACTTAGTTTCAGGCCCCGTTTCTAATTTATGCTACACCTGGTCCTGATGGATTGTGTTGCCCACTCTGTACATTTGATCCCTTTTCCTCATTAAATGTTCTTTTAGGTACTGCAATTTACTTCTTCAACTATTTTCATATAAGATTCTTTTGGCTCTACGCTCAAGATTTTAATGTGGATAGTTGCCATTAGGTTTCAATCCATAGCTATTGATTGCAAATAACTGAGAAGTATTGACATGGTTATACAGATTGTTGGATTAGTTCAATTTAACGAGGATTCATTTAAGGAATGTTCACAAGACGTGCAGGGAGGAAGATGGCTTCTCTATGACTTTGTCTTCACCCTCAAATTACCCTCCCTACCAAATTTCCTGTTATTTTGTTTATTTTAAGGGTTAGGTGGGTCCCACTTTCTTTATTTTTAAGTATTTAAATAATTTTGTTGCTTAGAATTGGTATGAGGAACTAGATACAGCTCAAGTGTGTGGACGCATGCAAAGTGCTTTAAGATGATAGCTCTTACATACTTGAGGGCTTGATGGCAATATAAGAATTTCACTGATATCCAAGACATTGTTGAAGAATTATTCTAAAAGTTAAACCCATCATACTAATACCATATAATTCAGAAGCTTCAAACCACAGCTGCTTAATCAACAAGAACATGATTCCCCAGGGCTTCCAATTTATTTCAACTACTTGATAATGAGACAGGACAAAGAGAAGAAAAGGAAATATTCCATCCTGCATTCAGAAATCGACCGAGCTAATTACTAAATCTGCATTCTTCTTAGACTTCATTATGAGCTCAGCATTGGGTCGGTCATTGTACTCTATCTGTTCGTGAGTGTAATAAATTAGAGAAATGCCATCATGGAGCTAATCAGAGAACGAAAACATGTGCTCTATCTGTTAAATGCTAAGAATAAGGAAGAACTTACACGCCATTTTGCAACGTCCGGAGCTTTTCCTGTAATTGATCGTGCAGGAAATAGTATAGGTTGTTAGTCTACAGATTTAGCTGTTTCTTTAACAAATGTTGCATTGATCATCTCCAAAACATTTTAATTGAAAAGGGGAAAAAAAAAATCCAGCCAATCACCATACCCGTCGAAATATGTCTTTTGAGAACTCGTTCCATTGATTTGTCGATATCTATCTCTATGAACCTGAATAATCAATACCATTAGATTAATTACAAATTACAATGAAAAAGAGATTCTTATTACAAAGGAAATTAACATTTTCTATCACATTCTTTGTTTACAAGCTTACAGTTCTCACTGGCAAGCTAAGTGAGTGCTTGGAATCTTAGAAAATAGAACAGTTCGGGAGAGATGGACGCCAAAACAAGTACAATAATTGAACTTTTAAATCATTGTCCTAGAATCTTTTAAATCCTCCAATGATTAGATCATAACGAGTAAGAAAAGTACATTTCATCACCAAATGACAAGTTGGTATAAAATTTAACCATCTCACTTGAACACAATTTTGTTACGATCTAGTAGAAGCCTAAATGTAATGTATACTTACCATTTTTCATCGAATATTGATGAGATCTCTTTCCAAACCCCATCGTCCAGTAGTAAATAATTTCCTTCTACTATAACGACTTTATGCCTGTGGGTAAAAGAATATAATTATATAATACACTTAGTAATATAATGAAAATAGAAACATTTTCAGATCCAGATTGTGGGGTGGG